AATGGAGAAAGGATAGTCTAGTCTTCAACAAATGGTGCTGGAACAATTTGACTATGTCAAAAAAACAAAAACAGCCTTGATCTATACCTAATATCCTATACAATAAAATTAACTCAAACTATATCATAAACATTTATAATAAAGCTTTTAGAAGAAAACATAGGAGAAAATCTCTTTGACTTTGGGTTAGGGAAAGAGTTCTTAGATATCACATCAAAGAAGATTCCATTAAAAAAAGTTGTAAATTGAACTTTATTAAAATTAAAACTTTTTCTCTGTAAATGACACTGTTGAGTGAAAAGAAAAGGCACTAGGAGAAAATACTTACAAAACACTTACCAAAAGTTTTCTTTAACCCAGAACTCAAAACTCAACAACAAGGAAACTGCCCAACTTAAAAATGTGCAGAAGATTTGAACAGACACCTCACCAAAGAAGATTCAGTCATTACAAAAATGCAAATTAAAACCACAATGGAATAGCCCTATACCTCTATTAAAATAACTATAATTTTTGATATCTGACAATACCAGATGCTGGGAACTGTACAGAGCAACTGAAAATCTATTAACACTCGTGATGGGAATGCAAAATGATATAGCTGTCTTGCAAAACAGCTTGGTGGTTTCCTGTACAGATACCATGTGATTTAGCAGCCTCCTGGCTGGGTACACAGTAGAAGTAAAAACATGTTTACACAAAACAAACCTGAGTGTGAATCTTCATGGCAGCTTCATCCATAATAACCAAAAACTGGGAAAAGTCCAAGTGTTTTCCAGTTGTTGAAAGAATAAACTCTGGTACATCTATGTAGTGAAATCTATTCAGCAGTACAAACAGATGAACTGCTGGGACAGACAGTAGCAGAAGAGTCTCAAGCATGTTGTGCTAACTGAAAGACTCCAGACTCAGAATACTGTGTGATTGTGTTTCTGTGAAATTGTGGGAAAGGTGAAGCTGCAGGACAGCAAGAGAGCGCCATGGCAGGGATCAAGACTGGAGATGGATTCAGACTGCTGAGGAGCTGCAGGAGAGAATTTTGGAGGGCGATGGGACTCTTCTTGATTATGGTGGCTGTCGCATGACTCCGTGCATTTGTCAGAGAATTTTATTACGTATTACTTGAGATGAGATTGAATGTCTTGATATGCTCAAATGTCAGCAAGGATTGAGTAATGGAAATGCTCTTAACTTGCTTTAGAAGAATAAATAGCTTCAGCCACTTTTGTAAGCGATTTGGCATGCTCTGGTAAAGCTGAAAATGGCCACAACCTGCAACACAGCAACCACGCTTCTAGATATACACCCAGATACTCATCACACAAGCACGTAATGAGAGTACAAGGGTGTTTGCAGCAGTATTTAACATATTAAGAAGTAGACAAGGATAACTGGATGGAGATTTATTTCTACAGTAGATACAAGATTTTTAAATGTACAAAACAATACCATGCATTTTATAGATACAGAAATTTAAAAATCTAAAAATGCATGGGAATTATAAAAATCATGCTCAGAATAGGGTATGTAGGAGAGACAGTGGGAACATAGGAGACTTAAGCTGTGCAAGTGACCCTTGAACAGCGCGGCGGCAGGGCTACCGACCCACTCACGTTGAAACTCAGTATAACTTTACAGTCGGCCCTCTGTATCCGAGGTTCTGCACTCACAACCAGCTTCAGACGGTGTACACTGTAGTGTGTATTGAAAAAAATCCACATAAGTGGACTTGTACTGTTCGAAACTGTGTTGTTCAAAGATTAGTTGTACACAGGTTGGAACTATGCGGGTCCACTTATATGCAGATTTTTTTCAATAAACATTGTAGTACTGCAGGATCCACAGTTGGTTGAATCTGTGGGTGCAGAACTACGGGTACGAAGAAACCACAGATACAGGGAGGCCAACTATGGGACTTGAGCATCTGCAGATTTTGGCATCCAGAGCAGGTCCTTCGTGGAACCAATTCCCCATGGATACTAAGGGATGACTGTACAGAGTTTTGTTTTTTTGTTTTTCAATTTGATAATATTTTAATAATTAAATATTTAAGTGCGTAAGTGAAATTAATACTTAAGGTCTTGCTCCTTTTTGAAATACTTCATGAAGAAATGACTCTACAAATCTTTTTTTATAATTTTAGGAGTATTATTTAGAATGTTGAATATTGGACAATGTTTTAATAAAAGTAAGTTTTTCTTTAGAGTTAACATAGGACACAGTTGTACACAGTTGACATAGGAATTGGATCCAATTTTTGAAACTGTTTTAAACTAAAAGAATGAATAGTTGGTTTTGTGTAAGAAATTTAAAAGAAAAATGTTAAAGACCACCATAATCCTTAAATATTCAAAATGGGGTCAACTAGTTAGTAGGTGATGTTCAAGAAAAATTAACTTATGTATACAGAAGAGATCGCTGGTGTTTGAGTATATAAGTAGTGTTTTAGTTTGTTGTTATCAGTGGCCTTTCCATAAAAATAACAGCTGTCTGAGGATTTCATTGCATTTCTGTTGGGGTCTTCGGGGACTCCAGTAAATAGCATCCTTTTCCCCACTAGAGTCATGAACCAATTGAAAATGTGGAGATTGAAAATAGCCCCTTTATTACAGCACAAGCTGGGGAAGGAGCTTAGAGAGTCAGATTGGATGTGCTAATTCCCTACACACTAGTTCCACCTCCCACCTGGGTCTAGACTGAACCATCCCATCCAAGGGAAGTGCTTCTGCAGAAGAGACCCATTTACCTGGGTCACTGTTTCTTACTCACTGGTCCAGGGAAAGAGGGAAGGGAAAAGAGATCATGTTCCTCCCCATCTAGGTAAGTCGCTCCACCTCCTGGGGAGGGTATGAGAGAGCTGCGAGGCCAGGAGTGTTCTGTAAAAGACCTCATCTTCTGCGATCTGGGGGAGAGAAGAGCAGTTGGCGCTCCCCTCCACCCGTTTCAGTTTGTCAGCTTCATGTTAGAAATGCTTTCTGAACTAAACTATTAACTTCAATATTTAACTATATTCACAATAGAAAAGAATTTCATTCTTGTCATATGATTTACCTTACAACTTTGCCTTAAAGTGTAACCTTAAAATGTTACATCTCTAAAGAGCAGTTACTGTGGTCTTGTAAAAGTACTGTTTCTTTCAATTAAAAAATAAAGCAGAGTAAATACTTCAGACTTCTCATTTTCCTGATGATTAGCTCTACCAAAACTAGGTTTTATAAACCGAGTCACTTTTTCATTAATTGCCCAGAGCAAGAATTATACTGGATATAATTAGCATATGATCCTCTCATTGGAAGACCTTACAATCTAATGGAGAAGACAGATCATTACAGTATTAGTGATACTCACTACCAGAGAACCATGGGCAGAATGTTTTGATTATATAAATGATGGAGAAATTAATGAGAACGGGTGGTATACTTAAGCAAACATATTGCTTCTATATTAAAATACATTTATGGAGATTTTGTAAAGTTTTGAAATGGAAATCCATTACCAGTAATTTTCCACTATTCTCATTAAAGTGGCAAACTGGTCATTTCAAGTAAGCGTAAGTTACTGTGTCAAATATAGCTCTTTGAGCTTTATTTTTTGATTGTTTACTCTTGGTTTTATGCCATTAAGGTATTTTAGGGGGGAAAATATCCGACCTTAACATTTTTTTTTATGGCGTGGCATCATTCTTCTACCGCAGAGATTAACAGCTAGCAAGTGAATACTCATTAGGTATCTTCAGTGGCGATCAAAGAAAATCTTTATTCTTCATTCACTAAAATTTTATTTTAATCGTAGAGTCACATATGAGCAACTAGAGCCAAAAGAATGAAACCAGGCGTGAGAGTGTGTGTGTGTGTGTGTGTGTGCCTGTGCACATGGAAGGCACCCAGGGAATGGGAAGAACATACACTTTTAGAGTAATACCAACCTAGCTTCAAATCCTCGCCCTCAGTAACCTTGGGCAAGTTCCTTAATCCTGCTGAGCCTTAATTTCCTCCCTGTCTGTGAAGAATAATACTTGCTTCATTCTGTTCTTTTAGAGATTATGCTCAAAGTCTTTCTAAGCCCGCAACCTGAAGATTAATGTTCATGGTCTTTCTTAGCCTACAATCTAAAGGAAATCTTCCAATACGGATGGGCCAAGCATACTTTAAGAATAACTTAGTGCCAGGTGGCAAGCTGCCTATAAAATTTGAAGGCAGAGGATACTAAACAAAATAAAACACTAATTGTGCTTATTTTGATACTCCAGTTTAAATCTTTCTGACTGAAAATGTAGAAATTGTTATTTATGGAATAAAATCTTAAAACCACTTCAGTGTGCAATGGTAGGATAGCAGGTAAATAAATGACAAGAGGGGGAGAGTATAGCTCAGTGGTAGAGAGCATGCCTGGCATGCATGAGGTCCTGGGCTCAATCCCCGGTACCTCCATCAAAAAAATAAGTAAACCTAATTACTCCCCTCTACAAAAAAAGAAAAAAAATTAAATATAAATAAAAAAATAACATCCTGGAAATTATTGCAGCTATGAAGAGAATAGATAAGTTTCGATGTGTTACAGCCAGGATGTGTGTATCTTACAATTAAACTTAGGTTTTTAAAATGTGAAGAAAAACTGAAAAAAGTTAATCACAATAATTGTTAGAGTAACAGAATTATGAGTGTTTCTTTTATTTTCCCAGTTTGTTAGCACCATGAGATTGTTTTTATAACAAGGAAAATGGGTAAGACAGTCATGCCTCATAGAGCAAAAAAAAAATCTCTTTATAGACAAAACACAAACTTTAGGTTCCTTGATGCTTGGTTCCATTAAGACAACTAAAGAAACAGACCATTAGTCTTAGTTCTTTTACCTACTTAGACATCAGCCTTTAATCTGTTGGGGTTTTTTGTCTGCTGTTATAACTCAATTCAGTCTACATAGTGATTGGATAGTAGAACTAGAAAATTAAAATCAATGTATATTTTTTAAAAGTGTTTTTCATTGTTTTATTGTTACAGATTTATTTGAGGTTCCTAGATTATCAGATGGAGCACTCAAATGAATGCAAGAGAAACTTTGTTGCAGTCTATGATGGAAGCAGTTCTATTGAAAATCTGAAGGCCAAGTTCTGCAGCACTGTGGCCAACGATGTAATGCTTAAAACAGGAGTTGGGGTGATACGGATGTGGGCAGATGAAGGTAGTCGGCTTAGCAGGTTCAGAATGCTCTTTACTTCCTTTGTGGAGCGTAAGTAAATAATTCCTGTAACATTGAGATCTACATAATCATTTATTCAGAGTACAATTATTAAGCATTTCCTTTTGACAAAGACTGCAAGTCACAGAATGTAGAAGTAACTTGGTCTTTGTATTCTCAAGGAGTTGACTGTCATGGGTGAAAAAAAATGGAAATGCATAAATTGAAGCACTATCTTAGTATAAAGGGATAAACGCATAATAGGGGATGCAGAAAGTGGAGACTTCTCTCAAGATTCTCAAAACTCAAAGTAATTATCAGTAGTGTTAATTCAGTGTGGTGAGGAGTTGTGAATCTACCAGACCATGCATCCCAAAGATTTAGATAGACTGTTTTCTTATTTTAATTTTTTAATTTTTAAATAACTTTAATCTCATACAAAGTGGTTGAAAATAGTAAGAGTTCTCATATGCCCTTCACTCAGATTCTCCAGTGTTAACGTCTTCCCAAATCATAGTAAAACTGAAAAGTAACAGATAAAATATTATTAACCAATACGTAGACCTTACTCAGATATCACTAGCTTTTCCATTAGTGTCCTTTTCTGGTCCAGGATCCCACACTGCATTTAATTGTCATGTCTCCTTCAGTCTCCTCTGATTAGGACACTTCCTAGCCGTTAATGACCTTGATGCATTTGAGGAGCACTGACCAGTTAGTAAAATGCCCGTCAGTTTAGGTTTGTCTGTGTTCTCTCGTGGATTCAGTTGAGATCATGCATTTCTGTCAAGAGTCCCACAGAAATTACAGCATGCCTTTCTCAGCACACCACTCCAGTGAGGAGGGGGTACAGGATGTGGGTTTTCCTTACAGTAACTTGGATCACTTCCTTAAGGTACTGCCTGCCAGGGTTTTCCACTATAGACTCAATTTTCCCTTTCTAATTAATAAGTCTCTCTGAGAATGTGTATATCTCCTTTGTTGATGGTTTCCTTTGCGGTGCAGAGCTTTTTAGTTTGATGTAGTGTCATTTTTTATTCTTGCTTTTATTTCTTTGCCTGAGGAGACATAGCCAGAAAAATGTTTCTAAGACTGAGAGCAAAGGGCATACTGCTTGTTTTCTTCTAGGTCTTACATTCAAATATTTAATCCATTTGGAGTTGATTTTTGTGTATGGCATAAGGTAGTGGTCTAGTTTCATTCTTTTCAATATGGCTGTTCTGTGTTCCCAGTGTCATTTATTGAAGAAGGCTGTTCTTTCTCCATGGTACATTCTTTGCTTCTTTGTTGTAACTTAATTGTCCGTGTGTGTGTAGGTTTATTTCTGGGCTCTCAGTTCTGTTTCATTAATCTATGTGTCTGTTTTCTACAAATAACATGCTATTTGGAGGGTTTTGGGGGGTTTTTTTCCTCAGTACAACTAACATTTACACTTTATTTAACTCTCAAAATGTGCTGCTTTAGAACAAAAAACTTCATTGTCACTTTAGATTTATGCATATGTGGAATACATATTTTATTCCTGATTTAATGGAAATTCTGATTTTTTTCTATCACTATCATGTTTGCCATTTTTTAATTGAAGTATAGTCAGCTTACAATATTGTGTTTTGGGTATATAGCATAGTGATTCAGTTATATATTTGATATATATATATGTATGTGTATATATATATATGTATACACACACACACATACATATACATGTATATACACACACACCTTTTCATATTCTTGTTCATTATAGGCTCTTACAAGATGTCGAATATAGTTCCTTGTGCTGTACAGTAGGACCTTGTTGTTTATCTATTTTGTAAATAGTGGTTGGTATCTGCAAATCCCAAACTCACAGTTTATTCCTCCCCACCTCTTTCCCCCCGGTAACTGTAAGTTTGTTTTCTATGTCTGTGAGTCTGTTTCTGTCTTACAAGTTCACTTCTTCCATTTTTTTAGATTTCACATACAAGTGATATTATAAGGTATTTTTTTTCCCTTTCCGACTTACTTCACTTAGTATGACAATCTCCAGGTCCATCCATGTTGCTGCAGGTGGCATTATTTCATTCTTTTTAATGGCTGAGTAGTATTCCATTGTGTGTATATATACCACATCTTCTCTATCCATTCATCAGTTGGAGGACAGTTAGATTACTTCTGTGGCTATTGTAAACAGTGCAGCCATGAACTTTAGAGTGCATGTATCTTTTCGAGTTAGAGATTTCTCCAGTTATATGCTGAGGAGGGGGATTGCTGGATCACATAGTAAGTCTATTTTTAATTTTTTAAGGAATCTCCATAGTATTTTCCATAGTGGCTGCACCAATTTACATTCCCACCAACAGTGTAGGAGAGTTCTTTTCTCCCCATGCCCTTTGCAGGAATTATTGTGGACTCAGTATTCTTTTTCTGGTTTCTTTAGACGTAAGGTTAGATTTGAGATTTTTCATTTCCTGAAGTTAAGTCTGTATTGCTATAACCTTCCATCTTAGTATTGCTTTTGTTGCATCTCCATAGATTTGGTATGCCATATTTTCATTTGCCTTGAGGTACTTTTTAAATTTTTCCTCTCATTTCTTTGCTGACTAATACTTGTTTGGTAGCGTTTGTTTAGTCTCCAGATATTTGTGATTTTTCCAGTTTCCTTCTTGCAGTTGGTTTCTAGTTTTATACTATTGTGCTCAGAAAAGATAATTGATATGATTTTAGTCTTAAGTTTATTAAGACTTTATTTTGTGTTCCAACATATGGGCTGTCCTTGAGAATGTTTCATGTGCATTTGAGAAGAAATGTGTATTCTGCATTTGGTGGATCGAATGTTCTGTATAAATCTATCAAGTCCATCTGGTGTAATGTTTCATTTAAGTTCAGTTTCTTTGTTGACTTTTTGTCTGGGTGACTTATCCTTTGATGCATGTGGGGTGTTAAAGTCTCCTACTGTTACTGTGTTGCTGTCAATTTCTACCTTTAGGTCTGTTAGTAATTGCTTTGTATATTTTGTTGCTCCTATGTTAGGTGCATATATATTAATAACTATTACATCTTCTTGATAAATCATCCTCTTTATCATTATATAATATCCATGTTTGTTTCTTGTTACCTTTTTTGGCTTGAAGTTTATTTCGTCTGATAAGCTACCTCCGCTTTTCATGGCTGCTGTTTGCTTGGAATATCATCTTCCATCCCTTCACTTTGAGCCTATGTTTGTCTTTAGCTGAGGTTACTTTCCTGGAGGCAACATACAGTTGGGTCTTGTTTTTTAATTCTTCCATCCTCTCTGTGTCTTTTGATTGGTGAATTCAGTTCATTTACATTTAAGGTGCTTATTTAAATGAGGACATAGTACTGCCATTCCATGTTTTGTTTTCGGTTGCTCTGTATCTCCATTCCTTTTTCCTTGTGTTTCTGTCTGCCATTTTAGTTTGGTGGTTTTCTACATTTTTTCAGTTTCCTCTGTTTTTATGTTTCATGTCTCTACTCTCGATTTATGGTTTGTTGTTACTATATATGGTTTGTATAAAATGTCTCATAGTTAAAATATCCCTTTTTTTTCTGCTCATAGCACCTTGTCTTCAGTAGCCTATATGAATTCTGACCTTTTTTTCCTCCTCTTTCATGTTTTGTTGTCTTATAAAAATAATTATCTCTTTTATGTTGTGAGTTTGTTGCCAAATTGAAGTAGCTATAGTTATTTTTACAGCTTTTCCCCCTTAACCTTTATGCTGTGATTAAGTGTTTAACAACCTATTCTGATACAGAGTAGCAATTTTCTGATTCTGTTTATCACCTTACTCAAAATTTCATGTACTTTTGCCTTTTCATTTCAGGTCGGAGAGCTCCTTTCAACATTTCTTGTAAGACAGGTCTAGTGTGTTGATGGACTCTCTCAGCTTTTGTTTATCTGTGAAAGCTTGCTTTCTTCTTCATGTCTGAATGATAATTTTGCTGGAAAGAGTCTTCTTGACTGACAGTTTTTTTTCTTGCAGTATTTTGAGTAGGTCATTCCACTCCCTCCTGGCCTGTAGAGTTTCTTCTGAGAAATCTGATAGCCTAAAGAGGGTTCCTTATTGATTAATTTTTCCCTCCCTGGCTGCCTTTAGAATTCTTTCCTTGTCATTGAGTTTCAGCTGTTTTACTATAATGTGTCTTGGAAAAGAGCTTTTGCATTGAGGTGATTAAATGTTCTCTCCACTTCATGAATTTGTATATCCAGTTTTTCCTCAGGTTTGGGAAGCTCTCAGCTATTATTTCTTTAAATAAACCCTCCATTCCCTTCTCTCTCTCATCTTCTTCTGGGATACCCATTATCCTAATGTTGCCCTTCCCAATAGAGTTGGATAGCTCTCATAGAATTTCTTCATTCTTTGGTTTTAATTCTCTTCCTTTCTACTTGTATCATTTCTAGACTTCTGTCTTCAAACTCACTAATTCTCTCTTCCGTATGGTCTGTTCTTTCCAGTGCTTCTCAGTGCTTTCTTCATCTCATTAAGTTTTTCATTAAGTTTATTTCTGAGCACATGGTTGAATGGCCTTTCTGAGTTTTCTTTTAGCTGATTGAGTTTCTTTATGACAGCTAACTGAATTCTCCATCAATTAGCATTATTTTGAAACTTTAAGTCTGGTTTCTGGAGAACTGTCATTTTCCTTTTGTGATACCATGTTACCGTGGTTCCTCAATTGTGCTCGATGACTTACCCACTGCTGACACATTTGAAATAGCAAACACCATTTCTTCTTTAGGTAAAGCTTTTTCCCCCCTACTTGATTCTAAGGATTCAACGAGTTAGTAATTAGAGGTCTTTCTCTTTTTTTCCAGTAGGTGGCTCTCTAGCACAAATTTTTGGTTTCTCAAACCTGCGCCACCTCTGGTTATATTTGAGAATCATTGTTTTCATTTTTCTCATTGATTGTGCCTCCAGGGTCATTGGTACCTTGCTGCTGCTGGCATCACTGCCTGGGGCACTGGGATTGCAGGGACCTCCACTACATCTGGGGTCTCTTGGGCCACAGGCTCTGCTGCCATGGGAGGTAAGAGGGGTAGGAGGAAAGATGGA